GCTAAGGTCATCTCACGCCTAACTAATGCATTTAAAAATTCTACCTTTAGTTAGCTACATCCCTTCTATCCTATTACCATCCAAAGTTTTAATATATCCTTTTAAAATACTTAATTTGGAAGAGCAAATGTATGTACAAAAAAAAGTTTTAAATTATAAAATATTTTCTTGTTCTTTAATTACAATTTCGAATTTTTGTTCCATAATTTAAAAATTTTCCGTCAGCTTGTATGGCCAATAATAATAATAATAATGAGGTTGAGATGGGGAATTCGTGTCCGAGTGGATCGAAGTCACGATAGCTCAAGTGGTTAGAGCAATGGTGTATTGAGCCGAAGGTCCTGGGTTCGAATCCCGCTCGTGACATTAGCTTTTTCATTTCGACCAATACCTTACAAAAAGATTAATTAATTGAAAGAAGATTAATCGGACCACGAAATATAATAGATTTAATAATGATAATATTATCAAACGAAAGTGGGCGGCAAGATGGTCTGTAGAGATAGTATGAAAGAAATTAAGCCAATTGTACATAAATTGGCCAACTGAGGGACTTGAGAGAAAACTTTTTTTTTTTGGCCGGCTAACTACTGGGTCATTGCCGACACCTCACGTATATAAGCTTCTCGCATTTTTCTTTGTTTCATTTCAACTTTATCTCTATCTCATTCACTATATCTCTTCTTTTAATTTTGTTTCCTACCGATCAAAAACAGGAGTGTTTTGGTGCTCGTTCCTACTATTCCACACGTGGTTTGTTAAAAATACTTCAATATTTACAGACTCACTAACAATACCCACTCACGCCAAGAAAATGATTACCTAATCTACAGATGGCAGGGCTCAGAGTACAGGTGCACGACTGAGGTCCTGCCCCTACAACTAAATAAATAAAAAGAGTCATAATCCTACCGACTTCCTTCCATTCGTGCTAATAAATACATTCATACAGTATGTACAGAATTTCATTCATCCATTAGACAAATTTCCTTTTGACGGGCTTGTGACTCGCTATTCCTCGACATCCACGTCCATTTACACAAAACATTCACTCTAATAAATACATTCATAATGGACAAGGGAAGCATCTCGGCCGTATTACAACAACCTTGATAGCGGCGACCTGTCCCTCACATCACACAACAAGTATATAATTACCTAAACTGATTTGGCGGGCCTGTAAGCTATTCAGTATTCAGTCATCACCCACGCTAATAAATACATTCACACTGCAGAATGGAGATATACCAGGTGTAGTTGGTTATATGTATCCATACGCATTTATCAGTTTTAAGTACCTAATAAGATTATCTTTGAAGTCACTGTTACGCTTAAGAACCATTTCCAGATTAGATGGTAGGTCACAACGTTCTCGGTACTCGCTTAACTTATTACATCCCTCTAATAGGTATCTCACCGGTTTCCACAGAGTGGGCAGCGTTTTTGACTTGTACCCACTAAGAGGTGACCGTGCGTGAAACGGGAGTGACCTATTCGCAACCTTGTTAATATTACAATTAATTAAGGTTTTTTAGTTGAGATGAAAGAAAGTTAATGGCACGAGAGGGTTTCGAACCCACGACCTTCGGCTAGATACGCCGCTGCTCTACCACCTGAGCTATCGTGATCACCAATTAAATCATTACAATTAATTAAGGTTTTTTAGTTGAGATGAAAAAACCTTAATTAATTGTAATGATTTAATTGGTCAAGCGGACCACGAAATTAGTGAATTTAATTAATTAAAATGAAGTACACTTCACTAAAGCTCTCCGTCGCCATTTCAATTGTCGTCGAGAATCCAAACCGATTACACGACATTTGAAAATGTGAAATTTGGTCTCAATTTTAGGTTATTGCCAAAAATTAACGATTTATTATTTTTAAAAACCATTCACTCAAAATTCGTAGTATGTTATTCTTTTTATGTAAGGTCTTGGTTGAAATAAAAAGTCAGTGTCACGAGCGGGATTCGAACCCAAGGCCTCCGGCTAAATAGCTACCACTTGAGCTATAGTGGCAAATTTTAAAATGGCAAAAGGAGGGAAAGCTCATAAGGTGGGGTTGAGATAGGAAGTTGGTGTCCGAGTGGATCGAGGTCACGATAGCTCAAGTGGTAGAGCAGCGGCGTATCTAGCCGAAGATCGTGGGTTCGAATCCCGCTTGTGCCATTAACATTTTTTCAACTAAATCTCAACTAAAAAACCTTAATTAATTGTAATGATTTAATTGGTCAAGCGGACCACGAAATTAGTGAACTTGTTAATATTATTTTGTTACGTTTTTCCAAATTCTCCACGGCCCATGGCCTCACTGTACTTTTATGTATTTTTTCCATTATTATTATTATTATTATTGTTATTATTATTGGCAATTCAAGCCTGTGGGAAATTATGGAACAAAAATTCGAAATTCTAATTAAAGAACAGGAATAAATTTTATAATTTAAAATGGGATTTTGGCATACATTTGGCCTTCCAAATTAAAATTTTTAAAAGGTTAAATTAAAGCTTTGAATGGCAATAGGATAGATAAGATGTTTGGAGTCAGAGCTTTATACAATAGCACTCAGAAGGGATTTAGCTAACCTAAGGTAGAAGGTTTGGATATTAGGTCGTGAAATTACAATAGCCGTAAAAATTAATAATAATATAATAATGGAGTCAGACTTGCAAAAGGTCTCAGCATAAATATTGTGTTATACAATTATCCAACAGCCAAGCTATGTTATATAAATTGCGCCCTTTAAGAACTGGTTGAATCGCTTATAGCACATCAGTGAGTACGATACCATTAAGGAACTTGATTTGTAGGCCCGGTTTCAGTGGTTGAATCTGTTCTATGGTTACAATACTTCACAAAGTACTTCCTCCTGCTGGCAAGTGTTGCACTAGTTTGTTAGTAGGTGTGTTGCTGTTTCCTCTGGTTCTTTGCAGAATCTGCATATGCAGTGTTGGGTTATGCCAATGTTCTTTAGCTGTCCATTTAGTTTGCTGTTCTTTTCTGTTAGGATTCCCGGTTATTTTCTGCTTCCTTTAATTGTGTTACTGTTTATTTCGATAGTTTGTTAGTTCTTGGATTATTCCAACTTTTATACTTCTGTCCGAGGTGCTCGTTGGTCGTGTGGATTCTATGCCAAAGATTTCGCCTTCTCCACACGCTTTCACGCTCATCTGGAGATCGTAGAGTAAATCTAACTCATGTGTAAAAAGTACAACAGACCAATCGCCCAAAGACGAATGGCTGGGTTCTCGAGCAAATGCGAGCCGTGCAACTCTGGTTTCTGGTCAATTCTGGTCCTCTTAAGGTGGCCCCATTCACGATCGCTCCAAGCAGTCCAAACGGAGCGACGCCGTTCCAAAAACCACGTCAATGGCAAAACTGAACTGGCGTGCCCGGCTGTGCCGAATATTCGACCGGTCCAAACTCCATCGCGCCACTCCAAATATCTACGGCGCGACGACGGCATGGCGCGTTCGTGAATGGGAAAACCTGGCGTGGAGCATGGTGATTTTGGTGAGCTGGTCTGGTCGTTTTTTCAATGTCGATCCTCTCCGACACCAAAAAATGGCAAAAAGAGAGAAAATTCGAAAGGTTGTAGATTGGGATGGGGAGTTGGTGTCCGAGTGGATCGAAGTCACGATAGCTCAAGTGGTAGAGCAGCGGCGTATTTATCCGAAGGCCATGGATTCAGATCCCGCTCGTGGCACTAGCTTTTTCATTTCAACCAAAACCTTACAAGAAAGATTAATTAATTGAAAGAAGTAATTTAGTCAATAGAACACTAAATATAATGAATAAATAAGACGTTTCATCCATCCTTAAATAGTTCCTCCAATCAGCGGGTTCAAGGGAAAGATTTTTCATCAAATTGATGTGGGTATTACGGCTTCTGTTCAAGAGCCACTTCTTACACCATTTTCTCTTCGATTTTTTGCTTTTAATATATAAACAGCACAAGAGATCGTCATCCATTTTGAGAAGGTAATTCACTGGTTGACGCTCGGAGCGACTGGCTATGGAGCGGTCGTGAATGCCCCCTCAAATTTCAGGCACTCCAAATGGAGCTGTACGGTTTGGCACGGTTCCATTTGGAGTGATCGTGAATGGCCACCTTAACATGGCGAAAAGCCATCAGACCATACTGATTTAATCTTCTTCGAGCAGTGCGTTCAGAAATTTGGACACCTCGAACTTCCTGGACCTGATGAATCGCTTGACCAACAGGTGTTGGTTTCGCAAAATTCTCAAAGTCAAAAAACGATCATCCTGTGGTTCTGCTTCCCTAGGGCGTCCAGAACCGTGCCTTCTATTGTAAGACCCAGTTTCTCGAAAACTTCTAACGTCATCTCGCAGAGATTCCTAGGTATCTCCGATGGCCATAGCCGCATACCTGCTGGAACGTTCATCATCAATAAGTGCCACACAGCGCGCAACATCCTCAACACTGAGTGGCATTTTTAAGTTTAAAAATTGAAAGTAAGAAAACAAAGATGAAAACTAAAAAGTTTATTGCTTCAGAATTCAAATATGATTGAATAAACATTTTAAATTATGTAAAAAGTAACCATTGAAAATCCTTTATCCTTGTGATTAAGGATTAACTGTGTTTACCTGTAATTGTTATTCCTAATTTAAAACATAGAATAAAAAAATATTTTTTTGTAAAAGCAATGAGAAAATTAAGGACAGAATTTTCTTTTATCAAAAAATGAAAAAAATCAATTGGGTGGGAATTTTTACCTGTCAGTGTATTTTGGTAGGTTATAGTTTTTCTTTGTATGTATATTTTTCCTTTTCTTAAATTTTATTATATTTCTTTGGGAGGACAATATAAAAAATGTTTTAAAAAAAATGATAGGGGTTGGACCGATCAACTTTGAACAATACAGGGCCGTCTAGTCTCAGTTGTTGTAAGTTTCAGATAAATCCGTTTCGGCTTCACACCATCATCAGTGAGAGATTAGAATTATTCGTCCTAAACGTCTTAGCAGTGTTACCTGATGGCTTCGATCATCTGAAGACCCATGTTGACGCAGTTGTACGCGTGGTTCGGCCTGGAAACCGGCAGCCCGGAGACGCAGTAATAGCAGTCGCCTAGGATTTTGATCCGCATGCACTGGTTGTCCTGAAACAGGGGAAAAATCTTAAATTAGACCTTCCAGAGAACAAAGGAAATTGGTGTGCAAACATGTCTTTTATATTTCAAAAAGCCGTCTTTGTTGCCCGTCCGCTCAATTAATCCCAGTCTTGACCTTCACCTCTTTTTTTCCTCGGGAAAATTACAATCTTCGGTTTTCCCAGGGTTTAAGCCACTGGTCCTAAGTCCGTTTCCATTGATGCCGGCAATATTTGCGTTCGGTCTCGTAAATAGTCGATTATGACAATTGGTGGCCTGAACCGGGCGTCCTTTATCACCCAGGGACGCGACCGGAAAGAAATCGGCCCGTTTTAACACGGAGATTTTTCCCTTTATTGAAGTCTTATGTCAGATCCGAACCCTCTTATCACAATATATGACGGAATCCCAATAAAACTCCGAGCCGAGGTGGAATCCCTTCCATAAATACCACCCCGGCCGTTACAATAGCCATCATGTTTAATTCAAATTTTAATCAACCTTCCGACGGGAAGAGCGAATCGGGATGTGCGACAAGACGGTTTTCAATTGGAGAGTGTGTTTATGCTAACGCCGAATGCATAATCGCCTGGGGAAACAACTGCTCGTGGAAACGGGCGCACTGGAAATATCTAAATTGGCGTATTTGCCAAAACGATATAAACCGTACACAATCCACGAATAATAACATGTTTAATGTACATTGTTCCTTAATTGAACGACAAAAGAGAAAATTTAAACTAGTCTAAGTCTGGTATGTTACAGGAACCAACTACTAGAAATGATTTGAGTTGGTGTGATCGTCGATTTCACTGTTTGTAAAATTCTACTCACAAAAATTAGCACATAGTATTTATACTCCTCATCAGGCTGAAGATACAAACACATCTCTCGACGTCAATTCTTAACGGTACTGGTGTCCCGATGTACAGAAAGGGTGCTCAATGTGTCACGCTAGGTCGAGGAGTGCCATGCCTTGGCGCCTTACAGGGAGCGAGTAGGCTTGACTATTGACATAAAAAGGTCATAAGGTATTCAGCGGGTCTATTTTTGGGTCTACTTTTTCTTCAAACCCTACTTATAATCATAAACCGCTGAAAATCAAACACGTCTGATGACCACAGCACTACTGTTCATGTTTGTTTCCATTCCCTTTTCTAAGAAAGATCCTTGTGTTTTAGTCTCAGTTTCTGTGTATCGTCGGTTTCATTTTTTCATCCGTCTACGAACCATCCAACTTTTTTTAACATTTAAACTTTGTTCTTTTATTAAATCTCCCTTCGCCTATTTATCGCATTTGTCGCACTGTTCGGTAGACCATCTGGCACTTTCTGTTCATGGTCCAACCACACTTCATTATTTGACGGTGGCTACGTTCGACAAAAATCTGTTCAAGTTAGCTAATTAGCTTGATCATTTAGAGCACTTTCGTTTTCCAAAGCGTCAGGATCATCTCACCATCATCGGTCATCATCCAAAACTCGTTATCTTGGTTCCTTAGACAATGCTTCAAATTTAATGACCTTAAGAATAAGGTTAGAATAGCTCTATATGACCTTAACTGTGACCAATATTGGTCTATTGTGCATTCCAAAATTCTATTCTATTAGAGCACATCCTCATCATCCTTCAGGCCCGGGCTTTTTCTCTCCCAGGAGTAGGAATCTCAGCATGTATGGACCTTCGCATGCAACAGTGTTTGATTTTATACTATATATAATGGGCATTAATTAATTTATTATCAAATCTGAATCATCGCGATAATAAGCATCCACAAATCTTGGTCTGTTCTTCCCGAAGCTTTAATTTCGGTAGGTTATTTGCATTATCCTGTCGTTCTCATTGCCCAAGTAATGCTCCGACATGTATGACGTCTGAGCAGTACTGAAGATTCTGACCGACCTCAGCTGTAATGTCTTCAATCACCGAATCACCGATCAGTAGGTTATCATATGTGTAGCAACTGCTGTTTAACCAAAGCTACAATTTAATTACCAAAACATCTGATTCTCCAACCTATCCTTCCAGTCGATTTCGCTCAGCTTGGCCTGTCTTTCTGCGTTTATGTATTTTGTGTTCTAATTAGAAGCCAACATTCTCAGAATCCTTTCTGGCCAGGGTCTGACCAGATTAAAAAATCCATTTCGTCGAAGGACCTTCTTATCGTTTCACACCTGTCCTCATCTGGCATCTTCTATGCTTGGCCGAATATTGCAGTACCTCCAATTATCGTGAACATCCTTAGGAGTTCCTTTTTCCAAAACGTCAGAATCATCTCACCATCCTCGATGATCACCCAAAACTCCCTTACTTCACCACTGGTAAGAGGATAAGATCATCTTTTAGTACCCTGGCACCTCAAACAGTGCTTCATCAGCTTCTATTTTTTGTGAGATTGCCCTTTGTTGGTCTGACCAGATTAAAGAATCCATTTCGTCGAAGGACAATCTTATCGTCTGACACCTGTCCTCATCTGTCATCTTCTATGCTTGGCTGAATATTGCAGTACCTCCAGTTATCGTGAACATCCTTAGGAGTTCCTTTTTCCAAAACGCCAGAATCATCTCACCATCCTCGATGATCACCCAAAACCCCCTAACTTCACCACTGGTCAAAGGATCATCGTACCTTGGCCTCTCAGACAGAGCTTCACCAGCTTCTGTTTTTTTGTGGGATTGCCCTTTGTTGGTTCTCATTAATCGCACCTTCTCACGAACTCTTTTGGTTGAGTGGAGTGGATTTGGCCAGATTCAAGAAATCATTTCGTCAATGGACCTTCTTATCATTTGACAATTGTCCTCGGCATCTTCTGAGTTTGGCCCAGCAATCTCACTTTCTTCTGTAACATTCGTTAACAGTCGCCATTATTTTAACATCCTCGCTATTAAAGCAGGTCTTATAATAATCATTCACCTTAGAAGTTTCTTTTTCAAATGCGTCAGAGTCATCTCACTATCCTCGGTCATCACCCAAAACACCCTTACATCACTCAGAAAGTGCTTTACTAGCTTTTTCTTTTGTGGGATTGCCCTTTTTTTGGTTCACATTAATTACCCACCTTCAGTACGTCATATAAACTCAATACAACGATTCATTATTAATGATTAAATCAGTTGCCATGGTCTATTGCTCTGCAGATTTGTTAACCGTAAGCTACTTGCTAAAAAAACTGAAAATAGAACCAATAAAGCAAGACCGATTACGAACATCAACCTATCGAGTTTTACGACTACAAAAGATTTTACCACGACCTTTCGCTTTTACTATCGACCCAATTTACTTCGAAATCCGTTTACGATCGTCTTTAGCTGAGGACCTTCAAACCTGGGAAGCAGCTCAATCAACTATAATCCTGCCTAAGGTAATTCAAATGAAAGGGAGGCGATCATCCTTTGCCATCCTCTTCTCCATTAACGAGCTGATATCAATCAACCTATCCACAGTTTACTCACAAAGCTGATTGTTTAACAACATTGGTAAATGGTATGGTTAAATGGTAGCTGAATGAGGATTATATGATATATTATTTATTTAACAACTTTTTAAAAGTTGTAATTTTATTTGTTCCAGAGACTTTAGATTGAAACATCCATCGTTATTGTTGTTTCAACCTTACGTATAAACATTTCTTGGTTTTTGTTTTGTTTTTTGGTTGATCTCTGTATTGAGAACGTGTTCTATTTCATTTGGCAACTTTCCGTGTCTTTTGAGAAGTCTTGACCTCGAGGGGCCACACGTCTTAGGTACGACGGTAAACTTCACACGGCCGCCGATAAAGTTGGTCCTTAGCGGACTTAACGTCACACTCGAAAAACTTAGACCTACAAACGAAAGCACTCGGGCTTTTATCTCGTGCCCAAGGGGGAGGAAAATCAATCGACTCACGTGGGCCAATTGGTCGAAACGGCCGAAGAGCTCGTTCAGGGTCTTCACGAGGTCCGACGCGCTCAGCTGTTCAGACAACGGGGTGAAGTTGACGATATCTGCATAAAGAATGCTGCAAAACAAAGCCATAATTAATTTTTTTATAGGAGGTGTTTTGCTATCAGATCATACCTGACGTTGTTATGCCGCTGAACGTACATCTCGTGAAAGCGTGTCTGGTTGCTGGTGATCTGTTGCTGGCAAGCATCAGCCATTTTCAGCATAATGCTCCTCTTCACCTGCAAAAAAGGTCAAATTCGTTAGTCGAAGTATTGAAAAAAATAATTACTCTTGAAAAATGAATCGGCCGAATTGAACTTATTTAATTATTCGATGAGTAAATGCCGATAAAACTTTTCCCTTTGAGCTTAAAATAAAGGAAGTCAATAATGACCTTACCTAAAGTTTTAATGTCCATTTAATGACCGAGTAAAGTTTATGTGATAGAAATTGATATTATTTCTAAATATTAATCCAGATATTTATTTAATAGTCGTAATTGACAGTATTAATTATACTTTTTATGGAAGATCTTGATCGGATTGAAAAAGCTACTATCACGGGATTTGAACCCAGACCTTCGGCTCAATCGCTGCTCTAACCAATTTCTCACGATAGTTCTAATGGCATAATTAATTTAAATTATTTCATAATTAATCTTTTTATGTAACGTTGAAATGAAAAGTAGAAGTAGAATTGTAGGTTGAGATGGGGAGTTGGTATCGGAGTTGATCGAATTCACGATAGTTCAAGTGTAGAGCAGCGGCAAATTGAGCCGAAGGCCGTGGGTTCGAATCCCGCTGGTGACGCTAACTTTTTCGTTTTAACCAAAACCAAAAAATATTAATTAATTGAAAGAACTTGGTCAATCAGACCACTAAACATAACGGATTAATTTTATAATGTTGAATTAAAAATAAATAAATATTTAAGAGGAATCGTTTCACGATTATTCTAAGGTGTTTTTTCACCCTGAAGCGTGTTAAAAGACGAAGTCCGTTTTACTTTCCTAATTAGTTGCCGAACATCACACCGCGAAACTTGCAAGTTTCGCTTTGGCTCACCTCAGGGGCTTTTCTCCTCGGCGGAACTCTCGCGGTACACTCAAAAATTCAAGGATTTGGAGCAAATGGGGAAAAGTTTCAAACGATCCCACCCTATTCGATGCATTCACAACTCTTAAATTAGCCTAATACTTATCAACCGTAAAGGGCTTTTTTCATTGAAAATCATCGTGTATATAAAGTTTTAACCCTCCAAGACCGCGTGTAAATTTCCTCCAAGACTCCAGGCAAAAGGATAAAAAAGGACAATATTTTAATCCCCATTCAGATTCATAAAACTCATTGGTCTCCACGGATATTTAAATTTTTTTTTCTTGTCGGAGTATATTTCCGTTCAATTTGGCGAGGGGGAAAAGTCATAAAAGAACACCCCCGAGAGTTTGACACGGATCCTACAATCAAGACCGGATTGAATTAAAGGTTGATTCAATTTTCCCGTATCACAACCGACTGCGAAGCTTTTTTTTTACCTTTCAACTATCCATAAAAAGAAGAACGAAAATTAAGGTGAGGAAGGTGGAGAAGACAGAAATATAGTATAATTGTAATTAAAGATTAAAATAATGTACGAGCAATCTTCAAAACAAAAACGCAGCAAAAAAAAATTTGAATAAGAGAAAGTCTGTAATACCAATACATACAATAAAATAATTTCCAACCCTATACAAAAGTTTATTTCATCCCCAACAACAGATTAAAGTTTAAAAATGGAAATTACATACATACATAATTTGCAGAAATGGAAGGTAAACCGTTCCCGCATCACCCTGCTTATAACCCTGACCCATTATACCAATACACAATACATTATAAAATAAATGTTAATAACCCTTAAAACGATTGATATAATTTCCCAGTAATTGTTAAAGTTTGAAAGAAAAAAAAAAAAATAGAAACACGATTTGCAGACGTTGACGGTGAAAAGTTCGCGCTTCGCCTGCTCATAAACCTGACCCATTGCACCAAATTAAATCAATTTTAATGTACTTTCTAACGATTTATTTCAACTCCAAACAACATTTTCCAGTTTAATTGAGAAAAATGTATGTATATTTTGTAAAAATGGAAGGTGAAAGGTTCTCGACTCGCCCTGCTTATAACCCGCAGCCATGTTACCAATACACACAATAATATAACTTTTAACAATCTTTCCAACAGTTTATTTCATCTCCCAACAAAATTTTACAGTTTAATTGAGAAAAATGTATGTATATTTTGTAAAAGTGGAAGGTGAAAGGTTCTCGACTCGCCCTGCTTATAACCCGGAGCCATGATACCAATAATATAACTTTAACCAAAATAATATAACTTTTAACAATCTTTCCAACAGTCTGTTTCATCTCCCAACAACATTTTACAGTTTAATTGAGAAAAATGTATTCATATTTTGTAAAAATAAAGGATGAAAGATTCTCGACTCGCCCTGTATATATCCCTGAGCCATGATACACGCAATAAAACCAGTTGTAATAACCCTTTCGACGGTTTATTCTGCCTTCCAACAACTGTACAAGAGTTATAAGAGAAAACCATAAGGATGATTTGCAGAAATGGAAGGTAAACAGTTTTCGCATCACCCTGCTTATAACCCTGAGCCATGATACCAATACACTCAATAAAATCTATTGTAATAACCCTTTCGACGGTTTATTCTATCTTTTAAAAACTGTACTTTGGGTTAAAAAAGAAAACCATAAGCATAATTTGCAGAAATGGAAGGTAAACAGTTCTCGTAACACCCTGCTTATAACCAGAGCCATGACGTCATTTCATGAGTATATTGCCTTTTCTACTCCATTTTGCGATTCAAAATTAAAAAAATTATAATATAGAATGCTTATATTAATTATTAGTAGGTACAAATTTCTCTTTCGACATAAGGATGATTTGCAGAAAAGGAAGGTAAACAGTTTTTGCATCACCCTGCATACAACCCTGAGCCATGATACCAATACATTCAATAAAATCTATTGTAATAACCCTTTCGACGGTTTATTCTATCTTTTAAAAACTGTTCAAGGGTTAAAAAAGAAAACCATAAGCATAATTTGCAGAAATGGAAGGTAAACAGTTTTCGTATCACCCTGCTTATAACCTGAGCCATGATGTCATTCCATGAGTATATTCCCTTTCTGCTCCACTTTGCTAGATTCAAAATTAAAAAAATTATAATATTGAATGCTTATATTAATTATTAGGAGGTACAAATTACTCTTGTACTTCCTTTAATCCTTAATATTCTTTATTATTTATTAGTTTGTAATTAATAATCCGTGATAATCTTGTATTCAATAACGTTCCTTTGTTCACCAGAGAGTTTTTCCTATATTTGTTTGGATTTAAGTTTATAAATATTACAATTAATTAAGGTTTTTAGTTGAGATAAAAAAGTCAATGGCACGAGCGGGATTCGAACCCACGATCTTCGGCTAGATACGCCGGTGCTCTACCACTTGAGCTATCGTGACCTCGATCCACTCGGACACTAACTTCCTATCTCAACTCCACCTTTCGAGTTTTCCCTCCTTTTATTTTATCTCAACTAAAAACCTTAATTAATTTTAATATATTAATTGGTCAAGCGGACCACGAAATTAGTGAATTTATAAATATTGTTGATGAAATGGATATGGCAAATTTAGGTTTAATCCATTATATTTAGTGGTCCGATTGATCAAATTACTTCTGTCAATTAATTAATATTTTTATGTAAGGTTTTGGTTAAAATGAAAAAGCGAGTGTCACAACGGGATTCGAACCCACGACTTTCGGCTCAATTCGCTGCTGCTCTACCACTTGAGCTATCGTGACTTCGATCCACTCGTACACCTTTAGGTTTAATGTTTAGGTTAACTGGCTGCATGTTTAATCCCTTGATTATAATTTAATTTGTAATTTCATTATAATTAATTAATAATTAATTATAATTTCAAAATCTTTATGAAGGGGAAGTATTCTTTAAAAGATCATAGAAGAAACTTCGTTTTCTTTCTATTTTTTTAGGAGGAGGTAAAGATAATAATTTGTATTTGGCTAAAGTTGTGGGTACTGACGATTTGGAAAGTAGTCGTGTTTTTGAACTTCTTTTTGAAATTCGACTCGCATTATCCGGAAAAAAATAAAGGAGCCCGTTGAAAATTTTAATTAAAACCTCGTTGTTAATATATATTGAAATGGGAATCGGGAGGGTGAATATTATTTTCCCTTCTTAAAACCCGTCGAAACTTGTGAGTGGAAAACCAATTAAGCCGCGGTGCATTGTCGCCCGTTGTCTGCCGAAGCCAGATAGGAAGCCCGGGACGCTTTTGTCCGGTGGGCGTTTTAATTAAAACCGACCTCTACTGCGATATAGGCAGGGATGACGCTGAGCAACAGCTGCTCCTGCTGTTCCTTCTCGCATTCCAGCTTGACCCGAGACTCGATGCAAGTCCGCGTGCCGGCGAAAGTCTCCTTGTGGGCTGCTTCGGTCATCCGGCGGTAGTAGACTCCGACGAGGAGGCCGGTCAAAAGGAAGATGAACTCGGCGGCTATCTGTAACCAAAAAAAAAAAAAAAATGATGAAGGTTGTTTAGCCAAAATGAAAATATCCAGTAGGATCCGCATTTAACAATGGGAAAATATTGGACTGTTAGAATAATAGATACCAATGATCTCTTTGTATTCTGTGCAAGCATATCTGCCTTTATGGATTAAAGGTAGTTTGAAGTTTCTATGAATAGACAGTGATGCTTAGGGATCAAAATGTATAGAGATGGCTAAATATATTGAAAATGGTTTTACGTTGATATAGATCGTCATATATGGTTAAGAGTTGGAATGGTTTTAGTTTTTTTAAATATCACAATATTGTTAAGATTAGATGGTTACGGTGTTGTGGACCATCAACGATGGTTAGGAATTGGAATTACAAATGGGTTGAGGTTGTTATGAATCGTCAGGTAGGGTTAGCATTTGGCATGGTTAGGTATTGTTAGGATTGGTAAGGATGGTTTCAGGTTGCTATGGATAGTCAGCGAATGCTTAGGGGTTAAAATGTATAGAAATGGCTAAATATTGTTCGGATGGAAAATGGTTTTACGTTGTTATAGATCGTCATATATGTATAAGTATTGGAATGGTTATGGTTTGTTTGAGGTATCACAGTATTTTTTTTTTTTTTTTTGACTGGGGCTTCCGACATCTAGGTCATTTCAGCTCCCAACTAAGTTACACTTTCAAGTTATTTACACTTTCAAACACTACATTCATACAAATAAATACATTCATACACATAAATACATCCATACAGTACACTCATTCCGTTTGGTTGGTGTAGTACTTGATATTCCTCCACCGACCTATACTCAAACTAATTTAGATTGGGGTCGATGGAGTACTTTTATAAATATTCCGCCATCGACCCCGAACACACACTCATACGCTCTCAACGTGATGATGTTATATTTCACCTTCACCCCTTGCCATTCACGCTAGTAAATACATGCACTCAGAGAAAACATATAGACATACAACACATAAGACATATTATATACAATAAAAAAAAACCATTTCCCCTAAAAAGCGGAACAAGGGACTCTGAAACTCGCTGCAGTGCTCGAGTACCATCTTCAGATTGGATGGCACGCCTACACGCTCGCTGTAGGGAGCCAAGGCATGGCATGTTTCCAGTATGTGGGACACACCTTTCTCTGAATAAGGGGCACTTGCGCGGGCTTTGGCCCGAGAGCAGGTGCCCGTGTGTCAACAGCGTATGGCCTATTCTTAATCGCGTAAGGACGATTCCTTGTTTCCGGCTCAGGTTCTCCAAGGGCCATCTACGAATCTCTTGACGCGCAAAAGCCTCTCGGACGACCCGGCTCACTGACGCTGCCATCTTTCTTTTATCATGTTCTTTACTGCTCGCTTGGCGTCAGAGGGCCTGGTCGCGATGGTCCGATCTGGAGGTTGGGACGTCCCGGCCTTTGCCGCCTCGTCCGCACTATTACAGTATTGTTAGAATTAGACGTGGTTACGGTTGTGTCGGATCATCCAAGATGGTTAGGGGTTGGAATATAGCTTGTTACATATGGTCCTGGGGTTGTTATGAATCGTCAGATAGGGTTAGGATTTGGAATGATTAGAGATGGTTAGGTTCTGTTAGGATTGGTAGAGATGGTTTTAGGTCTGGTTGTGTCTGTTAGGATGGTGCTATGGACAGACTGACATGGTTAGGAATTGAAATGTTATAGGTTTTTAGTAATGGATAAATACGGCTAGAAATAAAGATGATTCTAGGTTGCTATGGGCCGCCAGAGATAGTTAGAAGTTGTAAAAGATCGTCATTTTTGGATCGGAGTTGGAATGGTTAGAGATTTTCAAATATTGTTAGGATTACAGATGGTTTGAGATCCTATAATCAGCGATGGTTAAGTGTTGTAATGGTTAGAGAAGATTAAATATTATTAGGTTTAGAGATGGTTAGGAGTTGAAATGGTTATGGATGGTTAAAGATTCTTTATTTTTATTTTATTTTATTTTATTTTTTAAGCACCTTATGAATGGCTTTATGGATACGAACATAGAAAATTAGCCAAGGAAAACGTGTGTGTGTATTTGATTTGTTTCAGATGGTCCTAGGGTTGTTATGAATCGTCAGATAGGGTTAGGATTTGGAATAGTTAGAGATGGTTAGAAATGGTTAGGATTGGTAGAGATGGTTTTAGGTTGCTATAGACAGTCAGACATGGTTAGGGGTTGAAATGTTATAGGTTTTTAGTAATGGATAAATATGGCTAGGAATAAAGATGATTCTACGTTGTTATGGGCCGCCAGAGATAGTTAGAAGTTGTAAAAGATCGTTGTAATTGGATAGGAGTTGGAATGGTTAGAGATTTTCAAATATTGTTAGGATTACAGATGGTTTGAGATCCTATAGTCAGCGATGGTTAACTGTTGTAATGGTTAGAGAACATTAAATATTATTAGGTTTAGAGATGGTTAGCAGTTGGAATGGAACGTCAAAAATGGTTGGGCCAAAAATGGAAATGTCAAAAAAAATAAAATGGTCAAAAATGATTATAGATTGTTAAAGATTTTTTATTTTTATTTTTTAATGGCCTTATGATCGAACATAGCAAATTAGCCAAAGAAGACGTGTGGTGTATTTGGCAGTGTATTGCATTAATGAGGGAAGGGGGAAAAAAAAGATCCTGTGTGAAAGTGGGAATCGAACCCATGGCCGTCTACTAACCGAGAGTCAGCTGCGGTCCTCAGGTTGTTAGAGATGGTTAAGTGTTGTTAGGACTAGAGAAAAAGTGAAATTACTACGGATAGTCAAAATTGGTTAAGAGTTGGATTGTTATAAAATGTTAGCAATGGATAAACACGGTTGGGATGAAATTTGGTTTAAGATTGTTATGGAGAGTGAAAGAATGTAAGAAGTTGAAATGGGTATAGTTTGTTTGAGATGGTTAAATATGGTTAGGATTTGGAATTGTTATAGTTGGTTGGAAATGGTTAAATACGGTGAGGATTAAAGATGGTTAAAATTTGTTATGGATTCGTTAGAGATCGTTAGGACCTGTTAGATTTTTAGCGATTTTGATACGCAGTACGACAGAGGCATCGAAGGATTCCTTTGCATAATTGCAGTCTTGCATCGATATTTAAATTACGTGAAAAACAATTTCCGATCTTGTTTGGTCTTGTCCATTTACTTACTCAGGTTTTACCTTCATGTCTTTCGTCTCGCATAGGTATTTCACTTTTGCTCAAATTTTGTAATTTATTTTATTATTAACGCATTATGCTTTATACTTCACGCTCTGTTGTAAGGAAAAACAGAAATAATTTATGCATTTCTCATCCTCTTTTACTTTCATTTCGTCCCACTTGTTTTTGTACATTTAAAAAAAAAACTTATCTAAATCTAAATTGAAAATTATACCAAGTTATAGAAGAAGTTAATTAGCAGGATTGCTGTGTCCAACAATAAAAAAGTCCAAGGGGGACAACAAGAATAGCCCTAGGATGCTCCCTTGCGAGACGCCCGATTTAACGAAAGATAAAAAGACCTGAGAGATGAAGTGCAAATCTGTCAGATAGGATTTAAAATTCAAAGAAAGAAGGCAATGGCCCAAATCGAGAGACACCCGAAACAGTGCCTTTTCTGCTTAAAAAAACGTGTCCTTAACAAGTTAGACATGTTTCTCAGTGGAGTGAAATAAGCAAAATACCAAACTTGTGATGAGGATATTAGCAGTTTTAGAGGTGAGCTATTTGGACTAGTACAGGAAGAACACTGAAAAAAATTAGAGAGATTTATTGACGAATAAACTTCTTGGGTTTTGGAATCATTTTAATTGCTGGGTAATTTACAGGGCTTAGGGAAGTATGATGTTCTTAGTAGATGTATACCAGAAAAGAAAGTCCTTTTTTGCCAGTTTCTATAGTACATGGGTCGTCATTATATGTATTAAAGCTTTTCGAGCAGGTTTTTTGTGTTTTTAATATCTGAAGGAAGAAAAGGCTTAGGAGGATTAAGCTGCAAAAGTGAAGGTAATCGCAGTTCAACTTTTGGAGTATTCTTTTCTATGCTTTGAAATCGTTGAAGGTACTTCCCCGATTATCTGTACAATCTTTTTTAATAAAATAAAAGCAGTCTTAATTTTTTTTAAAGAATTTGTTAAGTAGTAGTACAATGTTAACTTTGTATGTTTTGTTATTATTTCATAAACTTATGAGTTCAGATATCGGGCATAAGTCGTCGAATTCAAGTAGTCGAAAGGGAACGTGTCAATCAATCAGAAATCACTCTGAGACAAACTCGCCTTAAAGAAAAAAAAAGGTTTGCCCCAAAGGTACGGACAGCCGACACTCAAAGGCGATGGAAAATAGGATTTCACCAGATTCCCTCCTTTGCAGGGGATTGCGTTCTCTGGTCCTTTTTTTCTTTTTTCAATACATCCCCCCGAATTGGATAAAATCGTACACAACGCCTGAGTGACGTTGGAGTCAATCTAGTTTACCCCCCGGGTCAGAAACGTCTCGATTCGTCGGCTCCATTACCGTTTGTCACATGAGTGTGAAAAACAAACCGAACAAATAGACCCAAAGGATTTGGGTAAATGTACATTTCCATTTTCACCCAGCATCAGCCGGAATAAAGAATAATTCATTCTAGGCGATGAACAGGTCATAAAGAATCAATGAGCTCAAGAAAGCTTCTGCCTATATTTATATATATATAGCTACCCGTATTACAAACTTTGCCAGTAGATTCTACATTCAAAAACGAACCAAAAAGTCCTAATTAAGTATGGTCCTAAGCTCGACAGTTTCGGAGTTATTTCACTTTTTCTGAATTTTTAAGATTTCACGACAGTGCTTCAAATAAACAACGATAACTCCAAAACTAAAAGGTTTTGGACAAATCCGTTGATACCATTGAAAGCTACGTTAAATTTCCAATAAGAAGTGATCAATACTAAACTTGTAAGCGTTCGTGAAATAAGCGCTTCAGTAGCGAGAACATTGAAAAATATTTTTTCTTCAATTTTGAAAAATTTATTTGGTGATTCTAAACTACTATTTCCCAATCCAGAGACCAGCAAATTTCAGAAAACGTACTCCATTTAATATCCTTATTAGTGATGTAATTGCATTTTAATTACTTTTTGCAAAGATGAAGAAACTGAAGAAGGTAAAGAAAAAACCGTGATTGAAGGATTGGTAAGATGGAAAGATTAATAATAACACTAATCCTTTACAGAATTAAAATATAACTATAAATAGTCATAATAAACTATAAATACACAATTTTTGTCCTAAATGTCATCTATTGACAATTAATTAAAATATACAGTAAATTTAATCGTCTGATATAAACAAACATAGTTATTCCCAATGAATCAACTTGATTTTTATATTTTACATTTTTTTTTACTTTTAGGCACTATAATAAACGTCAATCTACTAAACTAAACAACCTCTTTTTACAGAATCAGTGTTGCCCCCAGTGTTGCCCAGCATAAAGGATAGAGGGAAAATAGAGTCCACTGGCTTAATCATATATTATGTAAAATATATTTCTTTATATAAAAAATCAAAGAAAAAATATATATTTATAATAATTACAAGAGGAAAAACATTTATTTGAACTAAACAAATTCACTTCCCAGTATCAGTGTTGCCCCCAGTGTTGCCCAGCATAAAAGATAGAGGGAAAATAGAGCCCACTGGCTTAATCATATATTATGTAAAATATATTTCTTTATATAAAAAATCAAAGAAAAAATATATATTTATAATAATTACAAGAGGAAAAACATTTATTTGAACTAAACAAATTCACTTCCCAGTATCAGTGTTGACTCCAGTGTTGCCCAGCATAAAAGATAGAGGGAAAATAGAGCTCACTGGCTTACATATATATTATGTAAAATATATTTCTTTATATAAAAAATCAAAGAAAAATATATATATATTTATAATAATTACAAGAGGAAAAACATTTATTTGAACTAAACAAATTCACTTCCCAGTATCAGTGTTGCCCCCAGTGATGCCGAAAATATGGAATGGGGGAAAAGTTGTCAATGTCATACTGATATGTTATATACATTTAATTTATTACATTTATACACGTTCAGCTTAAATCTGCGTAATTATTCTTTTTACAAAAATCAAATATGAATAAAGTTCGATCAATTATAGTTAATTGTGTTGCTTTACTTCTTGGGATTCGTAAAGTCTTCAAAGAATTAAGATAAATGCTTACTATTTAGAATAGAAGAACAGTGGTTTTAATAAAACAATCTCACTTCCTTGAATTGTGTTGCCTCCTAGTGTTGCAAAAATATGAAATATAGCGAAAACATGTCTTACTCATAGTATATAAAATGTCAAGGGCAAATCTAAAGTTGCATAATATTGCTTTGAATAAAAAAAATCAAATATGAAAAAATTCTATATATTGTGATACTGTATAGTCAATTGTTACCTTACCACTAGATATTCGTAAAGTGTTCATAAAACTAAGATAGACGCTTACGATTTACAGACACAATCAGTGTTGCCCCCAGTGTTGGTCAAAATATGGGATGAAGGGAAAAAACGTGAACTGTCTTAATAATTATCTTAACGTATTATATAAAGCTTAAATCTGCATAATTTGTTTATAAAATAATTCTTGCTTTAAAAAAATGTTTTTCTTTAGAAATTAGAAGCTTTAAAAAAATCAAGATAAATACGTACGATTTACGACGTAAAACATTGATTTCATTATACACAGAATTCAATTTCATTGTATACGGAAACCCTCAAATCATTTTAAAAAATTAAAACCTCAAAATGCTTGCCAGTGGTTGAACATGTTTTTAACAACCATTCCACATTCCTGGATATTTTGAAAGGAATGGCAGCTTTATTGAAATGCGGTCCTTTTTCCCGGAATATGACTCTACCCTTTTTTCACTGTTTGTGCCAATCAAAACCCAAACCAATCGGATCCATTTTAAATTGGATATGTCCAACAATCCAAGATTAACGGATTATCCAATATGATTAAACATTGATTGAAATAATGAAACTTATCAATCATAATTTCACCTGTACGAGCTTTTCCCTTCGGTATTTGTTAACAAACAAAAATGTATTCATCGTTGAAACTTGAAACACACCGTGTAGTTTTTTTATTATTTCCCGCAGATTTAGCAGGTCGATACTAAGCGATATATTCGATTAATTTTTTTCCAGGGTTGAAAAAATTTTCCGTTCATCAAATGACCGTCGTAGAGATGTAATGATATGGAAGATCCATACCATTTATCACAAGGGTAGAAAACAAATCAGGAAAACGAGCTACCAAGTATAACAGAAGATGGATATCAAGTCATTTGCTTTTATTCTATCCACAACAAAAAACCGTTTACAAAAACAAAAATGTAATAGCGTAGGAAATGGGAGGTCGAATAAATATCACGATCGTGCTGCTGTCTTTCGGAATTGATTTATTATATTTTAGCAGTCGGAAAGTGAAGTTAAAAAAATATCCATGTTATATTTACCTTATAGGCTTGGGAGACACCAATGGCCATTCCGACGTGGACAGTTATGAGAGAGAGTCCGAACGGCAGCGACGTGGCGAGGCGCAGCGGGAAGCAGGTGACTATCGCCGGCAGGACCGGAAAGAGACAAAGGGCCGAACCCAGAGCGGTCGGGGCCAGAGTGCCCAATGCCATTACAGTTGAACACGTCCCAGGAGGTCCGGTTAGAGGTCCCAGAAGCCAGGACAGAGTACCCAGGCCGAGAGGAACCAGGACGCCGATCGCAAGGGCGGCCAGAGTCACCCCGTTCCAGTTGTTTCCCTGCCAAAAACTAAAGTTATACTGTTTTGTACAAGCAGTGTATAAACTAAGTATTATTGAACAGCCCAATACTTGAAGTTATCCATTTATAGAACATCTAAATAATTTATTCATTTTAATCACTCACACTGTCTTACAAGGGCGAATGTACTTTTAGACTTTCTGTAGGATTATTGGGAAGATATCAGGGGGAAAGTAGTTAGAGTTTATTATAGAATTTTTTGGAATCTTTCAACTTCTTGTATAAAGGAAATGTTTAGGTCGTGGCTCGATGGAGCCTGACATTGAGGAAGACCCCCGAGCTTTATCTCAATGGAGGGTGCGATGATAACCACAACTGTAGGATGGAGTTAGGAGGATAGAATAGTGTCAGCAGCGTATGTTAGGACAGCGATGTCGGGATGGTAATATCATCAGTACATACAAAGCACAATAACCGATAACACTACCCTGAGATGTCTTGCAGTTTCTTTAACAAATTAGGTTTTTATGTATACGGTTGGAAACATAGAAAGGGGCATTGACTCTTGTTCTTAGGATTCGTGATTGTAGGGTTTGGATTCTTCGGGGATTGTAAGATTTGGTTTAACCCCATAGTTCTATGCTGTATGTCCATACCGGTTTCAGTATTGAGTTGTATATTTCCACAGACAGTTTGGATCTGTTTCTAGGAGTCTTTTAAGTAATCAGTACCGTCGGTTCAGTTCTATCCATTTAAGTCGTTTGTTCGGGCGCGTCTACGTCACCGAAGCGCCCGATTTGCGACGTAGATTGTACCCCTCTATCTACAACCCCTATCTTCTAGAAATCCACCAATCGTAATACACTTCCCTCCTTTTTCCTCAAAAACCCATCCCTTCCAGTCCTCTCGGGCTCTCCTCTCCGCCAGCTCTCGGAGCGAGCACACGTCCTATCGCCCTATCCCGCTAAAGTGTTGCGCCATAGTCATTCACCTCCGCTTCTTAAAGTTTTCCTCGCCACGCGAATCCCCACGGATTCCCCCGCAAAGCGCCATACGATCTTCACCTCCGCGTGCGTCCCGTCTCACGACCGCATGGTCCACAAACCTATCATCGCCATTTTCCCTTAATATATTATCTCCTTCTTCCATCTACCATCATTATAATCCCGCGAACGAAACATGTTTTCATTATCCCGCCATCATCTCACTGGCTACTACCTGGATTGCATCGTCTCATCCTCACCGCTACTGGATTGCATCATCTAGCATCCTCATCAACGACGCTGCAAAAACCAGGTCGGTATACCGGCCTAATCGTCGCCGAACAACGCACGATATCGCATTCAGGAGACATTCACCGCTTCCCGGTCTTCATCGCCTTCAGACCGTCATCGCCTTCACATCTCCAACACGATCATCTGCCATCTTGTAAGCCATAGAAATTTCATTAAACAGTGAGTCTTTAACTACTCCTTTCGTTCATTATTTATTCCATCATTTAACCATTCCTAACTAACATCCCTCTTTCAATCGGGAATCTTGGTGCCGAAACAATCTTTTTATTAACTTCAATTCCTCTCTCCCGGTGGTGTTCGTCGGCGCCATTTTGAACTTGGCTGCTGGCGAACATCGTTTGTCATACAGCCAAAGATAGCGGATGACGTTTTCGGTAGGAAGGGGGTAAAGTTATAACAGATTGGAGGTAGAGTGATGAGAGTGTGAGGTTAGGTTTTGTGTTTTAGGTGTGAATCGCCATTTTTTTTTCAACCATTATTAAATAGAATATAAGTTATATGATATATAAAATATAACCATATCGCCACTGCTCACTGAGAAGACACCTCTCCCTAGTGGGTATTCTATCAGATCCCTTTTGCCGTTTCTGCGAAATAAAAGAAGAAACGGCAAGGCACTACCTCACAGAGTATGATAGGTATGCTAGGCCCAGATTTGAAATCTTTGAAGGAGCGGAGATCACCAAATCACTCCCTGAGTTAAATTGGTCCAAAATTTTGAGGTTTGTGAACAAGTCCAAGAGATTTATGCAGGACACGTGAGCCGACCAAGTCCCGGAACTTTTAGGGATGGGGTACGAGTCTACCCGGGCGTTTAACCCTACGGGTATAAGTGTGTCTGGTGCGTTCGGTGGACTACAACGGGTTGAAGTCGGCTGTAGAATGGCAGACTCATCAGTGCATTTTACGATATTGGTGTTGGGATGAAAAGGGATTCAATATATACAGAGGCGAATAGCAGCTCTTTTCTGTACAAAAGAGAGTGAGTCCCATATTCTAAAGTGCATGTCTGCTGCATATGACAAAGATGAGGAAGTACGTATATTCTAGAATAGAACCCACGTGCCAGGATCGAAAGGCTGTTCCACATCGAGAAAACTACCTAGCAGTATTGCTTCTTCTCAAGGGAGGAATCGTTGATTTTCACAACACGATGGCATTGTCGAACAGTGGTTAGAACGCCGAAATCCATACTGATGGGTGATTATATTAGATGATTCGACAATAGGGTGTTATTTGTTTACAAATTAATTTTTTAAATATTTCACCAATAATTGGCAATAAACTGATGATGGGGTGTGCTTTGTCTGATTTAGGGATTGGGTGAAGAATGAAACATTTCCATGACGTCGGGAAGTGAGTTGTACAGCAACTTGCAATGGGTTGTTAGGAAAACTATGGCTTTTTTTGGAGTTTTCGAAGTATGGAAGGCGTAATGATGTCAAATCCCGGAGCATTCTTTAGATGTAGGTTTTTAATTACATATTGCAATGAAAAGTAAATGGTTGGGAATCAGTAAACAGATAGGTAAACAGGGAAGTTTTTTCTTCTTAGGAGGAGGCCCAGGACCCATCTGTGCGACATGACAAGATCCTTTTTTAAGAAAAGAGTATTAATGTAAGACTACTTTGATGGAGTTAATAAGTCTAAAGACAGATTAAAAATGAGAAAGGGGTGAAAATTGCCAGAATTAGAGATGACTGGGATTGCTGGTGACGGTTGGAATTTCATTAAGAATGTTCAATTACATTTGACACAAAACCATAACCAAAAATGATCATAAACCGAGATCACAAAACCCTGTCCGATGTTTACATACTTTACATTTCTGAGGTCTTAGCCTTTAAAAAGCCATCTCGGACGAACAGTTTACGCCCGTTTATGCGTCAGACTACATTAAGCGGAGAGTTTTAAACCCTCCGCGGACAACTGGGAAGTTACGAAATTTTGTAAATCGTATGCAAAAAGTCGCGATGAAATCATCCAAGGAGTGAAAAGTGTCTTTTTACAGAAGTTTACGCGTCAAGAGTTTTCCCGTTGGCCAGTTTAAGTGGGAATATTCAATTAGAAAGGTTTCTCACTTTCAAACGTGGATCGTCTTCTTAAATTTATTTAACAACGGACAGATATCACGAATTCAATTATAAGAAAGTATCTCAGCTCTGCGGCCAAAGTATGCAAATGTATTCACCGTTGGAGAACAAATTTGACAAACGGCTAACCACTACGTTGAATTTTCAAGCACTGATGGAGGAAACATTAAAATTCGAAAAATTAAACATTCCCTGGGGTCTTTTAAAAACTAGATGACACTCATCCATAAGTTATCTCGGAAAACCCTCCGAACTAAATGTATTTCCATGATAAAAAAATACATTTTTATTTAAAAAAAAACTTTAAAAAATCAATATCCCGCCTTTGGCAAATTTCCACTAGGCAATAATTACACAGTAGAATTACCGAAGGGTCAACAGTTCATGCCCTCTGAATGATCCCACGTCTTTATCAAACCCCCTTTTGTTTAATTAAATTACACTTTCTTTCTTGAGATAGTTTCTGGGGTAGAAAACCGCGATAATGTACCGATTAAATCGATATATCGATTGATTAACAAAAAGCCCTAATGCACAGGGCGATGACATATCACGCTATGTTTATCATAAAAAGATAAAAATTATAAATATATTTTAGAAATATATCTATTTATTCATTTTCTGGCAAAACTGGTTGGGAGTAGTTAAATGGTTATAAATTATGATTTTGATGATTATTAGCTTTTTAGCATAAGCGGTAAGGCCTTTATGTCGTTCATGTTTGTTTTAGCATTTTTGAAGCATTTCATAAAAAGCTACATAAGAGAGTTATACAGCTAGGTTAGTGAATACTTCCCTCATACTTTTAAAAAACATGGGCGTGGTTAAACTGATTGGGCGTAGTTATAATGGTTATAAGTGGTGAATTTGATGAACATTCCCTTTTTAGCATAAGCGGTAAGGACTTTATGTCGCTCATGTTTGTTTTAGCATTTTTGAAGGATGTTCATAAAAAGCTACATAAGAGTGTTATACAGCTAGGTTGGTGAATATTTCCCTCGTACTTTAAAAAAATGGGCGTGGTTAAACTGATTGGTCGTAGTTAAAATGGTTATAAGTGGTGAATTTGATGATCATTCCCTTTTTAGCATAAGCGGTAAGGACTTTATGTCGCTCATGTTTGTTTTAGCATTTTTGAAGCATTTCATACAAAGCTACATAAGAGTGTTATACTGGTAGGTTAGTGAATACTTCCATCATACATTTTGTAAAAATGGGCGTGGTTAAACTGATTTGGAGTAGTTAAAATCGTTATAAACAGTGATTTTTATGATTATTCGCTTTTTAGCATAAGTGGTAAGGTTTTAAGTCGCTCATGTTTTTTAAGCATTTTTGCGTCACAGACTTCCTTAAATTGTTTAAGTTTGTTTTTTACTAAATGATTAATCTGCTAAAAGTTCTTTTATTATATAGCTACCCTATATAGAAGGATTGCGGGTCCGTCACTATTCCATTATATGTGTTCTGATGTAAAGTGGTACGTTAGTAGTGTGTTCTGTGTTGTAATGACTCCTTTACAGAGGATATGTGTGTTGCAAAGGACAGCGAGAGGGGAAAAAAAGAAGGAGAATATGAGATAACTATAATAATTTAGAGTCAGTGTCATGTTCTCCTGACAGTTGGATTAAACCAATAAATATAAAAACCTAAATCAGGGTGTTTCAGTAAAATGTTAAAAACCTATTAAACATGCGTATCAATTTTTTTTAGCTAACTCACCTCGGTATTCATGCATAGTGATATAAGGAGGATAGCGGAGAAGATAGACGTGGCGAACATAAGAGAGACGAAGAGTGAGTTCTTGAGCCTCTCCTTGTACCTCCTGTAGAGCTCTTCCAGCTCCATTTTTCCTGGAGAAAAGAACAATATTACAACTGGCAGGAACATATTTGACGTAAATTGTACGGATGGTTAAAATGAAATCACACTACAAAAATAAAGCAACTCTGCATTTAGCGATCAAAAATATTCTCACGTCAACCTAGGCCAGAGTTTGTTCAGTTTTCAAAACGATATTATTTTTTGAAATGTTTATATGCATATGTCTATGTAGAAATGTTATGTTACTGAATAATTTTGATGTTAAGTGGGCGTGGCTAATTGGCCAAGGTGAGACCCTGGCCGTGGCTAAGATTTCGACCTGTCAAAGTTTAAGTTTTTTCAATAAAACCTAGATTTGTCACCGCTGGTCAGATTTTTCATATGACAAAAAGTTGTTTAATAGTTAAATCATCTCCATTTGGGCGGAGGCTAAGCTGTTTAAATATAGATTGGGCGTGGCTAAACACTGTGGGCGGGGCTAAATTATATAGGAGGGGTTAAAAAGGTTAGATATAGTATTTAACGCTTTTTTTTGTTTTTGCATTATTACATCATTATTTTACTTAGCGAAGTACGAGTGTTATAGAGCTAGACTAGTAAAAAGAGTTATACAGTTAGTCTAATCAAGCTAAAATGATCAGGCGGCTAAGCTGGTTGGGCATGGCTTACTTGATCGCTGTTCGGTTTTTTGTTCACGTGTATTTTAGCATTTCTCAAAGGATTTTGATTTATAGCTTAAGGTAGACAGTTATATAGTTTGGCTAGTGAATATTCCAATGACGTTAAAGTGGGCGTGACTTAATTGCATGGGATCACAATTTTTCGTACGTTTTGGTTTTAATTTTTTTAAAACGGGTTTTATACATAGCTATATTTTTGGTTTTTATATAGTTAGGCTAGTAAATATTTCAATGACCTTCAGCTAAATAGGTCGAGCGTTGATGTAAACATTACGATTTGCTATTTTGGCTCGTTTTTTTGTAGTTTTGTTCGAAGTATTTAGGATCATTATTGTTATTCCTAGGTCTATAGGTAATAATCTTACAATGACGCTAAAGTGGAAGGGTTTGAACTAGTCGAATATTATTTTTCCATTAACTTGTTCAAAGGATACATTGCTAAAAGAGTGTGGTATAACATTAGGCCGACGATAGTCTAATGATACTCGAGTGGGAGTGGTTAAATTGGATGGGCGTGGTCAACTAATTAAAGAGAAACGTTGCTGAAATAAGTAACCTTTAAGAAATCGATCCAATTCGTTTTTCTCCCTGAATCACTTATCTTTGTTGTTTTATGGAAGAAGTTGAATGATTTTCTACTATATTCATGGTAGATCAAGTTAGCTTTTTTTTTAATTGTGTGAAAATTCGAAATTTGATTATTTAGTAGTGGAATAATTTGGAGGGGGATTTTTTTAAACTGTTTTTAACGTTTGATTCTATCTTGATCTTTTTTGATTCTTTGAGCTGATATTCAATCTAATCCTTTGCGCCTTTTGAATCGCGACCAGTTTGGGAAATTTCACCGTCACCTCTTTCGACAAATATTTACCGACTGAGGAGGAGGGCCGACATTTAAATGACCCCCGTTGAGCACACACGGTCCTACGGATAATCCGGGGCCGCCAGGACGTAGGAAGGACGTATTCACGTGGCAATTAAAAATTAGATACGGGCAGGTTTTACCCTTTTTCCCCTATCTCCCACGCTTTTCCTAGACTGCTAAATCATGAAATTCGTCCCGAGATTAGGGCAAAGGCAATTACCTGAGAAATTGGACCGACATCGTATTATTACGCTTATTATAATATTATTACTGCCAACAACCATCAGCCGGAATAATCCGGCGATAACTGCAATCCTCTTGAAATATTTTTTGCCAAATGAAATTTGGCTCCTTACAGGCAAAGTTTGCCACATTAAGCTAGCATTTTTAATTATAACATTACAGCATATAGCATGATAATATACAGCACATGGACTAGAAGATTGTTTTGCAAAATTTGAAACTACGAGTAGCAATTTCTGTCCGTAAATCATGAAATTGTTCTCAGCTATCCGTGGAACGCAGTTGGATTGTTACTACTGCATTATTAGATTAATAATCATGGAACAACTCGCCATATTAATCCGTTTTCCACGCAGCATCGTGAATGGGATGGAAGAGATTCATCAAATATCCATCGACTCCAAACTTCCAGAGCCAGTCTCGCCGTGTCCTCCGGGAATAACGGGCCTTATATGTTAAAACGTACAGAAATAAGAATTTTAGTTTGAATAATTACTACAATTAACGATCTACAAGAGACGGATGAGGAAATGACGAATATGTAGCAAGCGTGTTCAAGAGAGGCAAGATTAATGATGAACATATCATAACCACGAGGGCTGTAATTTCACAGATTGAATTAACATAATTTAATATGTCGTCTAAAGTAAAAAGCCACAAAACCATATGACCATTAATATATATGATTATGTGTGGTGATTAGTGACCGTTAATCGATAATTATTCAGTCTGGTGTGATGTAGGTTTCAGAAAAACATTTTCTTTATCGTGCCAACGTTTCGAGCTTTATTGAGATCATCTTCAGGGCTCAAAGCGTTTGTCTTCTGTGTAATTGTGTCATTCTTGCGTGTCGTGTCGAGAGTGCCCGATAAAGAAAATGTTTTTCTGTAACCTACATCACACCAGACCGAATTCTTAGAAATGGTTTATCACTCTTTTCACCTCAAAGAAGCCGACGCCTTATACAAAAATGTCTTTTCTATACCGACATCCTTCCCCACCCCTTCAAAATCCAACGTATATAAATACAAAATAGAAAATCTCACTGGCACTCTCGACACGACACGCAAGAATGGCACAAACACACTTTTCCACATCCAAAATGTAATTGTTATACGTAAACAATGTTTGTAAATCCCAGGCCCTGAAGATGATCTCAATAAAGATCGAAACGTTGGCACGATAAAGAAAATGTTTTTCTGAAACCTACATCACACCAGACCGCATCTCACGATTTCTAAATAAATATATGATTATGTTACATGATAGAAATAAACATGGATCGTAATCATGAAGATAAGAAAAGAAAGTATAAGTAAGATAATGTTCAAGATTGGTTAGGCATTACTACTTAGAAAATACTTTTTACCTATATATTTAAATATTCATCGATAAATAAGTCTGTTATATCGTTAGATCAAGAATTAGTATAATGTCGCCAAAGTGGATGTGGATAAATTAATTTGCTCTGGTTTAATTGGCTTATAAGTTTCTTGGGTTGTCTAACTGATTGAAACTGACTAAGTTTTAAAAATTTAAGTTGTTTAACTTGTTATTTCTATCGATTTTTATCTTTATTTTGGGCTATTTCGAAAGATTGGGTGTGGCTTAACTGGTCGGACGTGGCTATAATGAATTGGTTTGTCTTGTTTTTGTTGATGTATTTAATGACGTACATCAAAATTTTGATCATCAAAAAAAGTGTATAAAATAGAAAAATGACGCTACCGAGGGCGTGGCTAAGTTTGACGGGCGGACGTGGCTTAGTTTAATGGGGGAACGTGGCTTAAATTTATTGAGTGTGGATTGATTGGGCATTGGTAGACTTGATTGGGCGTGACAAAGTTGCCGTGCTAAGTATGATGGGTTGTCGCAAAACGGGTTGGGCGTAGCTAAACTGGCTGGACATGTTTAGCTTGTTGGGCGAAACTGAACTGGTTCGGCGTTGGCGTGGATTTTGGTCGTGGGCAAACTAGCTGGCATAGTTTGTTGGGCGTGGCTAATATTGATGTGGTGCAGCTCAGCTTGTTAACCGTAATCATTATTTTTATGGTGCAGCCCAGCTTGTGGGGCGTGGCTAATGTTAATGTGGTGCAGCCCAGCTTGTGGGGCGTGGCTAATGTTAATGTGGTGCAGCTCAGCCTGTTGGGCGTGACTAAACTGGTTCGGCGTTGGCGTGGATTTTGGTCGTGGGCAAACTAGCCGGCATAGTTTGTTGGGCGTGGCTAATATTGATGTGGTGCAGCTCAACTTGTTAACCGTAATCATTATTTTTATGGTGCAGCCCAGCTTGTGGGGCGTGGCTAATGTTAATGTGGTGCAGCTCAGCCTGTTGGGCGTGGCTAACCTTAAGTGGTACAGCTCAAGTTGGTAGTGCAGCTCAGGTTGTCGGACGTGACTAAACTGGTTCAGAGTTGGCGTAGATTTTGGTCATGGGCAAACTAGCCGGCATAGTTTGTTGGGCGTGGCTAATATTGATGAGGTGCAGCTCAACTTGTTAACCGTGGCCAATTTTTTATGGTGCAGCTCAGCTTGTTGGGCGTGACTAATTTTAATGTGGTGCAGCTCAGTTTGTTGGGCGTGGCTAATCTTAAGTGTTGCAACTCTACATATTGGGCGTGGTTCATTTGAATGTGATGCAGCTCAGCTTGTTGGGCGTGGCTAAACTGGTTAGGCGTTAGCATGGATTTTGGTCGTGGGAAAACGAGCCGGCACGGCTAATTTTGGTGTGGTGCAACTCAGCTTTTTTGGGCATGGCTAATTTCAATGTGATGCAGCTCAGTTTGTTAGTTGTAGCTAATTTTGATATGCTGGTGCGTTTGTTAGGCGTGGGTAAGCTTGTTAGGGGTGGCTAAACTTCTGGGCGTGGTTAAGCTAGTTTGTACGTGGCAAATTTGTTTGATTGTGGTTAAACATGTTGGCGCCTAAACTGGATGGGCAAAAAATAAACGTATATAATATAATTGGGAAATTAGAGCTTTTATTGCTTTTTTAGTCTATTCAGGCTTTTGACAGTCATTCGTAATTTTCACGTGAAAGTCCCAATGTCGATGTAGTAAATAGCGGCCGGACACACCAATCGACTGTATTAAAACGTGCTTCAGGGGGTTGTTTATCATTTAAATAACGTTAATTGAAAATTGTCAGAACTTGCTAATGGGCTTCGCCATATCATAATATTGGTACTGATTAAAACTGTCCTTTCTCACCCATAAAAACGTTTCCAATTAGGAGAAAGTTAATAATAATAAAAACCGTGCGTCTATTTGCCCAGATGGTCGTCACAGCGGTAATCATCGATAGACTCTTCAAAAGTGAAGACCTTACTACCTTATAATTTTATTTCGTTACTAACAGACACTCTTTACTCTTCAGATAATTATTTATTGTCACGATTTAAAGAAAAATGTGTAAAACACCAAACAAAATGGGAAATTTAACCAGCCCTTGGGGACAGAAGGGAGAATAAATTGAGTTTTCAACTGGGAAAAGATGGATGGCGCAATTTGGGCGACAGGCGATTCAGCCGAGGTTGATGAGGTAACTACCCGGCGCATTATTAACCCCCTCTTGCCCCTAAAAAAATTGCCATAAATTACGAAAAGGGATTAGATTTTAAAATTAATTATACACCGTGCAGCGGCGTGTCCTTATCGGGCAAAAGAAAAAAGGTAATTTCAAACGGCCCCCCTCTGATTTCTCCCGTGAAAAGAAAGCCGTACATAACACCATTTATACTAGTAAAAATAATTAGTACAAAAAATTTCCTAGGGAAAAGACGACACGATTCTAGTAACGTCCAATTGGGCACAGCTTATCTGGTTGATGCTATTTGTTGGGCGTTACTAATTTTATTGCTTTAGGAGATTTTAAGTATTTGTGACTACTTTGTTAAATTATGTTCATTGATAAACAAGTGTGGTACATCGTTAGGTTAAACTTTTTGGGAGGCGCTAAACTAATTGGTTTGGCGAGGCTGAATTCTCTGGGTGTGTCTAAGCTTGTTGGGCGTGGCTAAAATATCTGAGCGTATTTAATTATGTTGGGAGTGGCTAAATTAGGTGAGCATAGCTAAACTGTCTCGATGCGGTTAAACTTTTTTGGAAGCGCTAACTAACTGGTTTGGCGAGGCTGAATTCTCTGGGTGTGTCTAAGCTTGTTGGGCGTGGCTAAAATATCTGAGCGTATTTCATTATGTTGGGAGTGGCTAAATTAGGTGAGCATAGCTAAACTGTTTCGATGCGGTTAAACATTTTGGGAGGCGCTAAACTAACTGGTTTTGCGAGGCTAAATTCTCTGGGTGTGTCTAAGCTTGTTGGGCGTGGCTAAAATATCTAAGCGTATTTAATTATGTTGGGAGTGGCTAAATTAGGTGAGCATAGCTAAACTGTCTCTATGCGGTTAAACTTTTTGGGAAGCGCTAACTAACTGGCTTGGCGAGGCTGAATTCTCTGGGTGTGTCTAAGCTTGTTGGGCGTGGCTAAAATATCTAAGCGAATTTAATTATGTTGGGAGTGGCTAAATTAGGTGAGCATAGCTAAACTGTCTCGATGCGGTTAAACTTTTTGGAAAGCGCTAACTAACTGGTTTGGCGAGGCTGAATTCTCTGGGTGTGTCTAAGCTTGTTGGGCGTGGCTAAAATATCTGAGCTTAGTTGATTATGCTGGGAGTGGCTAAATTAGGTGAGCATAGCTAAACTGTTTCGAAGGGGTTAAACTTTTTGGGAGGCGCTAAACTAATTGGTTTGGCGAGGGTGAATTCTCTGGGTGTGTCTAAGCTTGTTGGGCGTGGCCAAAATTTCTCAGCGTAGTCAATCTGTGTTTGTTGTTCTGTGTCGAAGTTTGCTGGGCGGGATTAACTGGTTTAGCGTAATTAATTCTCTTTATGTAGTTAGGCATGTTGGGCATGGGTAAACTTTTGTGCAGGGCTAACTTTCTGGGCATGGCTAAGTTGGATGGAGGTGATTGAGTATGGCCATATTTGTTGGATCTTACTATTTTTTCTACATTATTGGTTTGACTTGCTAATTCTTTTTCTATTTATCGTTTGTTTATTTTGTTCAAACGATTCCCAGCTTTACTCTTGAATTTCTGACCGCCTTCTTCCGACCATGGAGAAATGTGGCTTTTAAGCTTTCTCTTGTCAATTAATCATGGGGGATAAAAAAAAATAGCCCTATAATTATTGCTTTATTTTATCGAAGTATTTCCATACGGCATACGACGAATGCCCAACGGGAAGTTTTTTGTTATAATTATCCGTTTTGCCTTTTCTTCCCTCTTCGAACCTTTTATTCATCGACCGAAAGGACCCTTTTGTCAGGCTCCTTTGTCCTATCCAGGACTGATCCTTCTCTCCTTCTCCCAGGGTGGTGTGAGTTGTAAAGGGTGTAAAAGGGAGAAGCAGACGATTTCTCACCATTTCCAATCCTGTAAGGGAAAATGAACTTGACACCGAGAGAATCGGGCGGACAGGCACAGGAAGACAATAAATCTTAAACCTATCCCGCGGGGATTCGAGACCAACTGAAGTACCTTTCGAACAGCTTACAAATTTACAAATCCCACATAATCTTGTAGTTCAATTGTTTCTTTCGACATCAAATATACAATATTTACCAACAACCAAAACATAATTTATTTATAATTAGTACTTAACTCACCGGTTATGTCCAAGTTCAGAGACTTGCTGTCAAGCCAGGACGTCAAGGATAACCTGAAAGAAATACCAAAAAACCTTTACAAAGGCAAAACAGATAACAATTAAAATAATTCATATACAAACAATAAAGACAGTTAACAAGAGAAACAGTGGTATTTTCTGTGTGTACATTTTTTAAAGGTTCGTTAAGTCAGCTATGTATTTTCACGTGAGCTTTGAAAGGGTTTTGCAACCAGCCCAGGGAATGTTTTTTCATAATTGAACCCTTTTTACGTTTAGCCTTCTCCCCCCGATTGCGATCCGTGTTCCTTCTGCGCCACTCTGAAGTAATTTTTAAATCTACTTTTCCAAAATAAAATAACTAAAATTCGCTTCGAGAAAAATACTAATAGACCCAGTCGGTCGGAGTTGAATATCTTTGGTTGGTCTTTTCAGTATTTTCAATGCAACAAACGGGTTTGTTCTCAGGCCATTAGAACGGATATTTATACAACCATAAAAACAGAAAACGTATTTTTTGATGAATTTGGAGCGAACTAGAACGGACCGTCACAGAACGTCAAGAAAGTACAAACAGAAAAAATGAAAAGAAAATAGAAACGATAATCAGTCCGACGTTTTCGGAGAAAATGATACAGAAAAAACCAAAAGATAGAATTGTTGACGAAATGAAAAATATATAGATAATAAAAAATGTATTTAAAGATAGGTAAATAGTAAAAGAGTGTAAGAGAAAAAAAGTGATGTCAGATCTAGAGGAGAACGTAGATAGATAAAGAAAGAGAGAGAGAGACAGAGAGAGAAAGAGAGGAAGGAGTGAGAGAGTTGTATAGTTAGATAGATAGATAACAAAGACATCTAAAAATAGACAGCGTGAAAGAGAAAAACATAAAGAAATGAGAGAGAGAGGAGAAAAAGCGATAGAGAGAGTTGTATAGATAGGTAGATAGGAAAAGACATCTAGAAATAGACAAAGTGAAAGAAAATAACATAAAGAAACAAAAAGAAAAAGAAAGAGAGAGAGAAAGAGAGAGAGAGGAAAGAGTGAGAGAGATAGGAAAGAGTGAGAGTGAGTTGTATAGTTAGATAAAGAAAGACATTTAAAAATAGACATCGTGAAAGAGAAAAACATAAAGAAAAGAGAGAGAGATAAAGAGAGAGGAAGGAGTGAGATAGTTGTATAGATAGGTAGACAGAAAAAGACATCTACAAATAGACAGAGTCAAAGAAAATAACATAAATAAAAAAGAGGGAGAGAAAGATAGAGAGAGAGAAAAAAAAAACAGGCAGAGAGGACAAGAAAGGTAGGGTTGGATTAAATAAATAGGTTAAAAAACATAAAGAGAACATGAGAGAAAGATAGAACAACATAAAGAATCATAAAGAAGAACGATTAATTGATTGATTGATAGCATTTTTAGCGACGCAGAATAGGTCTCTTCGATTTCTCTTACTTCCAGCGTGTGTTATAATAAGATAAAGAGATAGGTAGATAGAGAAAGAGAGAGAGGAAAGAGTGAGAGAGAGTTGTATAGTTAGATAGATAGGTAAAGAAAGACATTTACAAATAGACATCGTGAAAGAGAAACACATAAAGAAAAGAGAAAGAGAGAGGAGAGAAAACGGTAGAGAGAGTTGTATAGATAGGTAGATAGGAAAATACATCTAGAAATAGTCAAAGTGAAAGAGAATAACATTAAGAAAGAAAAAGAGAAAGAAAGAGAGAGAGAACAGAGAGAATGTGGGGTGAGGGCGAAGAAAAAGAGATCAACAGACCGAAATGACAAGAAAGTAGGAGTTGGATAGATAAATAGGTAGATAGGAAAAGACATCTAGAAATAGACAAAGTGAAAGAAAATAACATAAAGAAAGAAAAAGAGAAAGAACGAGAGACAGAGAGAGAGTGAGAACGGAGTGAATATGGGGTGAGGGCGAAAAAAAATAGATAAACAGCCCAAACGGACAAGAAAGTTAGAGTTGGATAGATAAATAGGTAGATAGGAAAAGACATCTAGAAATAGACAGATTAAAAGAAAAGAGCATAAAGAAAAAAAGACAGAAAGAGAGAGTGATAATAGTGACTTGTAGTAGATAGCAAGAAAGAAATAGAACTTGAAAACAAGAGAAGTTGATACCCCAAAGAGTAGATGAGAAAAGTTCTCAAATAGATCTCAAATAGATAAATATACATTGGAAAAAGTATAAGAAAGAAAGGTAAATAAATAGTGAAAGAGAAAAATAAATAGACAGATTAATAAGTAGACATATTTCTAAATAATTAGTTAGATAGATATCAAAAGAGAAAGGAGAAATAAGAAAATAGTTATATGACAGAAAAAAAGTAATTCCTACCTGCCGGTCATCTTTTTTCTTCGTATATTCACTAATTTTCTACGAATTTTTATCAATCTCAAATAGATAAGTATACGACGGAAAAAGAATAATGTAGAGAGGTAGGTAAATAGTGAAGGAGAAAAATAAATAGATAGATAAACAAGTAGACTTATTTCTAAATAATTAGATAAATAGATATCAATAGAGAAAGTAGAAATAAGAAAATAGATGTAAGACAGAAAAAATGGTAGATAGTGAAAGAGAAAGTAGAGAAAGAAATATTCTAGATTGATAAGTAGGCAGATAATCGATAAGACATCGAGATTTTGGATAACTTTTTTTTTTATTTGCTTTGGGCTTTTTGGAAAAATTTATTTCAACTAAATAGATTTTCTTCTGTGTTTACGGATGTTTTCATAATTCCAGTCGACCCGAAGGCCGCGTCGAGGCGGAACGGTCGTGACCGGACACCATCGCGAAGGTCGTCTTTCCCATCCGAAACACTTTCCTCTTTCTCACTTGAGAGAATCTCTCAATTTAATCCCTTTAAATTTAATAAAACTAAGAAGAAAAAGAATATTAATTTTAAAAAACACACACCGAGCGGCACAAAGCCAGATATGAACTCTTATGTGTGCCCTGGGCAAACTTAAAAGCGAGTGGATGAGTAAGTTACCAAACTCCAACTTGAACATTTCGACTGTGGAAAATCTTCAAGGAGGATACTGAGTACTATTTGATGTAAAAAAATTTAATATTTTATTTTCTTTGAGTTTTCTGTTTAACTTATGGCTTTTCATAAGCAGTTTGAAAGCGATTATGAGATGATCTTCAATATATAAAAAAATCGTAATCCTGAAACGTTCTGATCTTAGAAGGAAAAGCAAGAAACCAATTTGGCCCGTGTTTACCAACCATTCCATGTCAAATTAAGACCTGAATTTCTTCCTCAGACCCGTCATCATCAAATCGATAGGTTTTTTTTAACTGTCGAAACCGGGTTTAATTGAGTGAAATGGCCGAATTGCGTACAACAGGTGGTTTCCAGTCTAGAACCGTTTTAAAAACAAGCCGTAACAAAGTCTTTTCTTTTCCTTTCCATCCGAATCTTGCATTATTCATCTGCAAAATAGAAATCGATCCGTTCTGTCAAAACGTACTTAATTCGACGGAGGGAGAACGTCAAGAGGCTTGAAAGAACCCTGGGGCTGTTAATTCAACACGAGTCGTACGTGAGAGGTGAAAAACAGCGAGAACATGCGGACCGGCGAAATTTATAAACTTTAATCCGAAAACCCTTCATTTACATCGAAAATCGTACGTCGATCAACGTACAATTTTTTTTCGTTCTTTCAAATAATTGGCAAAAACCGACGGAATTCCTGAAACCCTGCAAGAAAATCGACATAATTGTTTATGTCAAGAATGAATCAATGTTGAAAAATTCAACGAGAAGCCAAACTTTATCACAAAAGGAGAACGTTAAAAAATAAACAATTAATAAAATCGGGCAGTTCTTTCCACCGAGTGCTAAGACCGTCCGATTTTGGCCACGTTGGCCGTTATGGGTTCGAATCCCGGCACAGCGTATGGAATTTTCATTAATCATTATATGTAAAAGGTATTGTAGCAATTGTGTATATGTCTGCATCTGCTTGACTCACTTAATTCCTTCACCAAAAAACAACAAGCAATTTATTTAAAATAAAAGCATCAAAAATCTTTAACTCAATACCGAAACGACAGTTCATATAAAAAGCACAAAATCATACAAAGTACAACGTAAAGGATATTTATTATGTAAATATTTTTGATAAAAAATGGCACGAGCGGGATTCGAACCCACGATCTTCGCTGCTCTACCACTTGAGTTATCGTGACCTCGATCCACTCGGACACCAACTTCCCATCTCAACCGCACCTTTTGAATTTTCCCTCCTTTTTGCCATTTTTCAATGGCATTCCCTCCATTTTTTATCTCGACTCAAAACCTTAATTAATTGTAATATATTAATTGGTCAAGCGGACCGCGAAATTAGTGAATTTAATAATTACAAATTAGGATTTACCTTATTTAATATTTACTTAGTTAACTTTACATTGTATGCGTTTACATTAACTTGTAAAACGTTAATAATCATTTTATTAGTATTTTATTTTATCTTTAAATCCTAAAATTATATTCCAATTCCTGAATCTAACTTTTAAGAATTTGACAAAAAAACTATATCTAATTTTATTTATATCATTATTTCTATTGTACTTACTTACTTACCTTTAAAAGTACTTAGCCAAAGTTCATTTATCTCGTGGTTTTATTCAATAATAATATGCTCTGTATAAAAAAAATATAACATAAGTTTATCTTACCCTCACTTTAATCATTTACTTCATTGTTAATTTAAGTTGTTGTTTTCATTTTAAACCTGATGCAGTGTGATGAAGTGTAAGAAAGGTCCTGGAGACTTTACTTTTGCGTGTTTGTTAATACATAATTCTTTAATCAATCAATATTTCTCACCCCTTTTTTTATGCTCTTTTATCTATTTAACTATCTATCCAATTTCTCTCCCTCTCACACTCACACCACTCTTTCTCGTTCTCTCTCTCTCTCTCTCTTTATTTCTAGATGTCTTTATCTATCTCCTTATCTATGCAATTCTCTATCTTTCCTATTTTCATATCTTTCTCTCTCTCTCTCTCTCTCTCTCTCTCTCTCT